CAAGTCGTTTAATTACAACCGTAGATTTTAATTACAATGTTTCTATGGATTTACCCGAGGTTTCGGAGGGAAGGCATCGGTGTCCTCTTATCTCCGATATATATATAGGAATAGATGTAAGCGATATATTTAACCACATCGATACGTTAGGAAAACACATAACAGAGATCCAGAAACATTATATCACCCCATGTCAAGTAAAATCAGAAATACTTTCCTTAACCAACAAGTTCAATAACATCAAAATGCTAGGAACACATTTAAGATTATTAACTCATTCTAGAGTTAAGAGAGGATTAATAGACGCTATAGGTTCAATCAGCAAAACACTTTTCGGAACCTTAGATTCTGGCGATTTACAATTGATAAACCAGAATATCGACAAACTATTTAGCGAAGGAAACGAATTAAAAACCATTGTAGCTAATCAAGCCGCTCTAATTAGGAAAATCCTGAACACCGACAGCCTAAAACAATTAGAAAAAGTAAACGCGGACATACAAAATAAAATAAATCAAGTAAACAAGCTAGGACTTCTAACAGACAAGACTATTTCTATAGAAAGCGCTTTGTCAGATCTACACTTTCAACTCGATGAAATATTCAATTTAATTTTACTAGGAAAACAAGGAATTATTAGCCCCCAGATTATAAATCATCACACTTCTTAGAACAGTACGCTAAGGCTTTAGGAAATCACATCATAAATGAAGGATTTTCACCAGAAGAAAATAATTTCCAAAATATTTTAGACGTCTCTACACTCACACTGTTTGTCCAAAGCGAAAAGATCTTCTTTAAAATTTCAATTCCAACAATAATTGACTCAGAATGGGAAATAGAACAGGTATACCTTATACCGACTCAAAAGAACGGAGCATTTCTCGCCCCATTAGTCGAACGTCCGACATTTTTCACCTCAGGATTAACTTATATGAATGTAGACCAGATGTATTTGGGCAAGCAAACACGAATCAAACACGAATTGTATATTTGCAAACAAAACTCAAGCCATACATGATAGACGTTTAAAACACGATTGCGCATCCGAAATAGTTAGTGTAGACAATACCATAAGATTTTGTAAATTCACAGTCTATAAGATAGTAGAAATAACTTTTATACCACTCAAAAACGAAAATCACTACATAGCTATACCAGGAAAACCAATAGAACTCAATATATTCTCTAAAGAAGGACATCAAATTGTCAAACTGAAGCAACCCTCTCTGTTGAAAACTAAAATAACTGTAGATATATCGTATGGAGACAACCATATGAGAATCAGTGGCAATCCCAAGAGCATTTCTTACGATATTAAGATCAGAACTATAAATATAACTAATAACGTAGATTGATCCTCAATGCTCGATGCCTTAGAAAAGACTCCTAAAGTAAGAGCAACCTAAACGGTTATACTGATACCTTGAATCAAATAGGAGATAGAGCCAATCAATTAACTTTTTCGCACAGAATAACACAAACTAAAACTTGGGGTCTCACTACGTTGCAAATAATAGGATATATATCCATTGGACTCATATGCTTGTATCTGCTTAATAAGATAGGACTGACAAAACTATGTATTCACATATTTTGCTACAAAATTAAGAAAAACACCGTTAGTAACACACCTAACGTTAGTACTGCAACACCTTCCGCCCCTATAAACATTTACACACCGATATTACCTGTACAACCTGGAACAGAAAGAGAATCAAGAGTAAGTTTTGAATTATCAACACCGCCCAAGGCCAAATTTCATCCATCGATTCTGAAGAAACGCAAGAACTTAGAGGACTAAGTTCACTCTACGAAGGGGGGAGTGTAACATCACCCAAAAGCCAGACATCTGCCGACCTCAGGATATGTCGATAACACTTGGTCATGCGATAGCGATGAGAACAGACAGTAGCGGGACTCCCACCCGTAGGATATGTGAATCATAATGAGGAGGTAAAGATCCCAGTCCCTTAGTCAGTGAGTCAGTCTGTGTTCCACAATTGAATTGTAACATTGTCTTATTAATAAAGCATACGAATGGGCTATTGCTCATTCGCCTTTTTTTTACAATATCTCGTCATTTATTACGTGACAATACCAACGACCGACACCTCCGAATAATTACAAACGTAACAACTTTCGTCCCCTGAACACTAATAACAACATCGGAAACAACCGCCAGGATCGAAGATTTGTACCTCCATCGCAGAATTACCCAAACGCTCCGAGACAAAATATTATACCATGTAACTATTGTAAAAAACCTGGGCATCTAGTGAACCATTGTTACAAATT